TGAGCTGTCCTTAATAATTGTCCCTGATTTCTGTATGTCAATAAAATCATGAAGTCTGTCTAGCATGATCACTTGAATAGTTCTTCTTTTTTTGGTCTATGTGTTAAAAGAAATGAGAAAATAGAATGCTCATGCTGGATTGACAAGAAAGTTATACATGGCTGGTTAGCTTCAGAAAATTGGTGCATTTGTAATTGTATCGTAGGGTGTTTTTATATGAAACCTGCAATGGTAATTTTTCGATACAAGCTAAAGAAGCATTTCTCTTTTCTGCTTTATCGATATTGATCAGCAACCTATACACATTCTTAGGTTGCTTTGCTGGAGTGGGCAGATGATCTGGAGATGTTTATATTGAAGGGTTATGGTAATTCAATAAATTATCGAATGGGAGTGCCATTGCTTGAAGATGTTGTTCAGTCCATGGAGCAAGCCATTAAAGCAAAAGAAGGTAATTACAAGTTGTCAAATGCTGGAGTCTGTGTTCTTGTTTTATGTTGTTGGTTAATTGTGTCCCTTTCTTTAGGTTACACAGTTGTGTCTCATTGTTGAACAAAGCATATTTTAACTTTCATAGTCCCTTTGTTGAACAAATATTTTTTCTTTCATAGGCATTAGTGAGCTGTGGGCAAGGAGCAACCTATTGAATTTTTTTGTGATTTTTTTTTTAGATTTGCTTTTTGATCAGGTTAGCTTTTGGCACGATCTAAAACTAGCTTGCTAAAGCCCAGCATTGAGTGCTAGGACCATCAACACTTGGCTATCTGATTACCCTAGTCATTTATTTACAAGCTTATTTTACATCTTATATTTTGTTCAAAGTTTGAAGTCTTCATTGGTTGCTATTGTTAATTCAATTTCAATAAGATATTTACAGCCACCAAAGGGTGTAAATGACGTGGTAAGTTGAGTACCTGTGACAACCTAGGTCATGGTTTAAATTCCTACCCTTGGATACCCATTAGGGGTGATCATTTTCGGTTCGGTTCGGTTTTTATCAAAAAAAAAAGTAACCAAACCGAAAAAAAAAATTTTTGAAAAAAAACCCGAAACCGGGTCAAACCGACCGGTTCCGGT